AGTACATTAATTAAAATAGAAAAAGTATAGTTTTAACATTTTTGACCATTTTTAAAATACCTATATCAAATTAATGTACTTTTAAAATATCTTTTATATTTCTAATGGATTTAGCAATACAAATCTATATTCTTAGTTGTATTCAAAGTCAGTACATTTAATTTTCTTCCCCAAAAACTTTCCAACAAGCTATTAGTAATATACAAATATAATTTATTGCATCCTGAATTTAAATAAGGACTCCACAACAATAATGACTACGGGAAATAATGATGCACATGATTAAACTTCTGCTGACTAATTAGCAAAATAACACACACACACACAAAAAACAATAAGTGGTAAATTAAAATTGTATTTCTTTGTAAAACAATTTACATAACGTTGCCTTTAAGACAATCTCATTAAGCAAACTAAGATATACGAACAGACTAAGCAAGCCAAGGAAAAACAAAGCCAAGATGACTTGTGCATGTTGGAAGAAAAGTGCAAACAATGTTTTTGACAATATAAGTCAAAGGCATTGCTATCATATTCTCCAATATGAGCACACCTTTCACTCACTATGGTGGTTTGGTGTATAAGAATGACAGTGGGAGGATGTACAGAAGCAGTCATAGTATTAACGGACTTAAACATCTCTTCATGGAAGAATCTCTTTGTTTTGTTTTTTAGTCAACATTATACAGCACAGAGTTACTGACCTGCTCAGTGACAGTGAGTTTGGCATGTACACGGCTGATGGACTGATCATTGGACAACAGAATCTCACAATTCTTACGGCCGACCACATACTCCTGACCCGGGAGCAGAACGACACATTCCCCTTCAGAAACATAAAGGAAAGATGTGAATTAAGGCATCCCAAGCTATCCAGTTAATAATTAGGGGAAACGTGGGGAATTTCTCTTGTTATGTGACACAATCTTTGTCTGTAAACAACAATAATAAAATGTAACCACTTTTGTAACCACCATTTACTTTTGAAGGGTCTAAAAGTGTTGTTGAACTATAGTTGTCCATTAGTTAAAGTGCAAACTGTCTTGATTTCATGTCAACAGAATGGCAGTCAGAAAGATGATGTCTGCTTGGTAACGTTACAAAAAATATTTCAGGGGTCTGTTATTGATGTGGATCTGTCTGATGAAAATCATAACCATAAGAAATGAGAGTGGTAACCTTTGTGACAATTGTGAAACCCAGAGCCACGTTTTGAAAGTAACTGATTGATTCACATTGTAAAATCAATTATTGAGAAAATTATCAATTCCAACTCTACATCAGTGTCTGATACACTGTCACACTCTGCCTCAGTGTCTATCCGTGACTGTATACAAGTCTTTAAAAATCGTCCAATAAACAGGAAGACTTGTTATGTAACGTAAACGGAAACATATTACATTACCATTTTTATTGCTTGAATGGATTGCAGTTGGTCTGGATTTTAAGTGCTGCCGTAGTACTCTAAAACACCGAAAAACCGAGTGATTTTGTACATAAAACGTTACCTCCAGCTTCGGATGTTTGCAGTTTCCACATTTCTATACTTGTCGCTTTCTAGAGAATGAATGCTACTAAGAAAAATACACTGGAGCTGTATGAAGTGGCCCGCCACATTTACATCTTCATGTGCGACGTAATCAACTTCAGTTTCAAAATAAAAGTCCTACAGCGAAAGCGATTCATTTCTGAGAATCGTTTCTTTCAAACAGTTTGATTCAAACAACAGCGATTCTTAGGGAGCAGTGAACACCATAGACATCATATAGTGAACACTGCGTAGGGACCCTGTCGAATGGAACGCACCTATGGTCATGGCGTATCGTGCAGTACAGTTTCCTAAACAGGAGTTCGGGAATATAATGAATATAATTAACAAAAACGAATGAAACATTAAAATAAATTAACGGGGCCGCACGATTAATTGAAATAAAGCTAAAAAATCGCCATTATTAAAATACATGCATGTGACCTTTATATTTTACGTATAAAGGGCTATTTAAAATGAATATTTTATGTATAAAGGGTTACTTAAAAAAATACAGTCTATGATAAAATGCTAACAAAAAAGTTTCGAAACCGCTGGTTGTGAACCAGTTCAACCGATCGTTAAAAAAAAAAAAAAAACCTTGTCCGATGGCACCTGGCGGCCATCTTGTCACAGACAGCTCGATCACCCGTCACTCGTAACATTGCATTTAATGGTGCATGTACTTTTTAAATAACCATAACTTGCTCAATTTTCTACCGATTTTCCCCACCGGTTTGGTATGTTATAAACGCCAGATATGTAGTAAATTACGACACTGCATGTATACTTATGAATAATAAGTGTATAAATAAATAATCATCCAAAATTATAGCCATGTTAATAACGTTTGTAAGAAACCAAACTTTTTGTAAATCCGTCAAGATTTCAACGAGATAATTTGTGTTCGTGCTGATCACTCTTACATCAGGTACCACAGAGCCTGCCAGAAAGCTTGCCTGTGACAAGATGGCCACCGGTGATAGCGATAGAGACTCCGCCATAAGAAATCAAGCCTTTATTATAGAAACAGACACTGCCTCTCACCAGAGACTTTTCACTTTCAAACTAAATCTAAATGTGTATTTTTCATTGTTAAAAATAGACACAACGCATGAATAAATAATAGTGAAATTACTAAATGATTTTAAAACTTTCCAAATTAATTTGATGTGTATACATTTATTCATGTGTTCTTTTTAATATATTACATAACTTGCATTAAAAGTTCATTAAATAGAGCTGTTTTTAAATGTTCTTTTTAGGCATCATATTTACAGAACAACAGTTTTTTCGTCAGTAAGTGTACAGTTTTTTTTTTTTTTTTTTTCATAAATAGTCCATAAAATCCTTAAATTAAAATATTCCACTGGGCCATAACATGTCAGTGTATGTCATAAAAGAGGTAGAATATCAAGCTCTTTTTCAGACTTGGTTTCAGTGCATGAAAAAGTTGCAGAATGTGTGTGAGTATATATGATTCCATGCATCAAAGTTATTTACATATATAACAATTAATGCATTTTTAAGCAGCATTGCTACCAATTTAAAGCCATTAGCACCCCAAAGCACTTCTAAACAACTGACAACTGCAATTATTTCTTTAGATGTACATCCATTTCCGAAGACAAAAAGTAGACACACCAGAAGTCCATGGCTGTCTTTCCAATGTATTAGTTCCAAAGAGTCTAGAATGACAAATCCTTAGACATATCGGTTTGACAGTGTCCATTGTCTCACTTCCAGTTCAGTTTTCATGTATAAGCTTTTCAATATAAGGTCACAACTTTTTTAAAACTTCAAGTTTGACATAACTGTACAAGTATATTTATTGCCAGATAATCATTTATATGATAAAATCCTAAATTCCCTCACACATTCTTTGCATTCTAGCTTTGTCAAGACATGTTTGTGTATCTCTGTGTTTGTTGGTGCATTTGGTGGTTAGTCAAAAAGAGAAAACAAGCTTTCTCATTACATGCAGAAGCATTCTGTATGAAACTATTTTACAGAATGGGAAGCAACATTCCACCAAAAAAAATAATAAATAAAAAAATAAAAAAAAGACTCAAATGAATGATCTTAGTTGTTTAAAAAAACAATGAATCCTAATACATAATTGCTGCATCAACCTCAGCTGTTGTGACAATATAAGGTTAAAAAGAACAATTTTATATATGCAAGATGATGTTTTGATATATTTTAGATATGCTAACCAAGATGGTCAATTTGTTAAAAGCATTTTGTGGCTGGTTACAATATTTGAGTGTGTGGTCAATCATGCATTTTGCATGAGCATGTTTGCAAGGCCGTATTCTTGATACTACTCTGATTTTTAGGAAGACAAAAAGTTTTAAAAAAAGTAAATTTTAGGCTGGTCTGCCTCAGCACTAAAAAAGGCAATTGTCAATGTCAAAATGACTGAGATGGCCAATCAAATCAAAGAAGGCGGGCCTTACTGTTCACAGATTCACAATGTGAATTCCAGCACAGTTTCTAATGGGGAAAGAGTGCGAAGTTAGGTATAAGTAGCAGAACATTTTATATATGACAACTGTTTTATGACAGACATGTTAAATGGCTGACAGAAATATCCTATGATGCAAACTACTCCTTTTTTTGTCAAATTTCGCCATTTCGAATTGAAATAATAGGCTGTATTATGTGCATGATTCATGTAATTCATAACTGAATGTAATTACAACAGAAACAATTTGCTTTTTTAAAAATATTTGTTTAAGACAAGGTTACGGCCATGTATGTTTTTATTTGCATGAGTGCATTGTTATGAGCTGTATAGATAAGAAGAGGTGCCAGAGGTGCTGCATTCTTTCCATATCCATGTAAAGTAAAGAAGCACTAGATGGAACGAAAAATAAACAAAATGGAAGAGAGTTTGTCAGGCACAGAGAGCAGTGGGTATGAAGGTTTAAAGGAGTAGTTCACTTTAAAAAAAACCTTTTGCAGATAATTTACTCACCCCATGTCATCCAAGATGTCCACGCCTTTCTTTCTTCAATTGAAAATAAATTAAAGTTTTTGATGAAAACATTTCAGGATTTTCTCCATATAATGGACTTCATTGGGAACCAAACGGTTCAAGGTCCAAATGAGTTTCAGTGCAGCTTGAAAGGGCTTTAAACGACACCAGACGATAAATAAGGGTCTTATCTAGGAGCCTTCGAGTCGTGACTCGAAAAATGTCACGAATGCTCATCACAGAACAGAGCAAGGCGAGCATTTGTGCTTATAAAAGTTTTCATTTTTTAAATGACCGATCGTTTCGCCAGATAAGACCCTTATTCATCGTCTGGTGTCGTTTAAAGCCCTTTGAAGCTGCACTGAAACTCTCATTTGGACCTTGAACCGTTTGGTTCCCAATGAAGTCCATTAAATGGAGAAAATCCTGGAATGTTTTCATCAAAAACCTTAATTTCTTTTCCAATGAAAAAATGGACATGGACATCTTGGATGACATGGGGGTGAGTAAATTATCAGAAAAAGTTTTGTTTTAAAAGTGAACTACTCCTTTAAACTCACAAATATTGGGTGTAGTTTTCAGTCTTTTATTATGATGAGAACAGGTAAAAACTACATCAAGGGTAGCTTTGCATAACCCTGTCTGCAAGATAAATTCCTCACCTCAAACCTATTTCCCACCTGTTATTCTTTCCTCAAATTTCCCCTCTACCTATTCATGCAGTGATTTATTCCAGAATCCGTGGCCCATTTCAGAGGGCAGATTCAGAGTAAAGAGCCCCTGATGATCCGTGCAGCGGTGGGTGGAGCCTGCGCAGTGATGCGACTGATGTTGAGTTGAGGTCTCCGCAGCTACGCAGGTGGATTCCCCCGGCCCTTAAAGGGTCATCATCGTGCCGACGGGCGTTATGGCGACTGTCGCTATGGGAGTGGTGGTGTCCACGGCAATGGTGGTGGACGTGCTGCTGCTGCCCCCTGTTGGCTCCTAGAGAGTTCCGAAGCACCTTCATAGCAACACAAACATGCAATGGGTTATTCTACTACTAAATTGTACCATACAAAATTCCATCCGAACTAAATGATTTTATTTATGGTATTGGCTATGCTTTACCTGCTCTAACGGCAGATTTCCATCTCCTCCTGTCCTTCTTTTAGGCCCCTGAGTACAGTTTCCAGCATGCTCAGTTGCAGGGGCCAAGTTACGTTTGGATCTTTGCAGGAAACGTTGAACTAAATTTCTGGTGACCTGAAAGGAAAGGTGAGAAATGAAAATGATAAATGTGAACATATGTACTCGTGTGGACATGTGAATTATTTACACAATACAAATTTGAATTGAATTGAAAATGTTTGTCTTCATATTTATACATTTAACATTACAGAAATATAAGGATGTTTTAGTTAGCGCTTTACTATGTACTACTGAAAGTGCTTTAAAATCATATCTCCCTCAGCCACCACCAGTGTGCAGAATCCACCTGAATGATGTGACGGCAGCCACAGAACATCGGCGCCAGTGTGTTCATAACAGCTATAGGTGGAGAGGAGAGAGAGTGATATAGCCAATTCAAATGATGGGGATTATTAGGAGGCCATGATTGATAAATGCCAATGGGGGGATTTGGGCCACACACACTTTTGAGAAGTGCAATGGGATTTTTAATGACCAAGAGAGTTGGGACCTCGGTTTAACGTCTCATCCGACGTGTCCCCAACATTACATGAGCAGCACCCCCTGCTGGCCTCACTAACACCTCTTCCAGCAGCAACCTAGAAGGATTCCTATCCTGATACTGACCAGGCTCAACCCTGCTTACTGTAGCTTCAGTGAGCAACCAGGGCTACAGGGTGATCTGGCTGTAGGGGATCAGCATATTTCGGGGTCTAACCTTGAGGTCTCCAAGTGAGCGTGCACAGTCTTTGGGTAAACGCAGGGAAGTGGCTGGAACCTGTTTTGAAGGCAACCGGCTACTTACAGCCTTAATACTGCCCTTTCTGGGCAGGGAAGCAGGAAGTGCCTGAGAGGAGCGAGGTAACAAACCAGCTCCAGACGATACCCCTGGATGACACAAATAAACCAAAAAAAATGTAAATATAGGGGGCAGAGAGACAAATTAATAATAATAATAAAAATGTAATACAATTTTATAATAATGTAGAAAAATAATAATATAAAATAAATTATTTTACCTAAGGAATGTTATTTTAGTGTTACTTATATTCTATTCATGTTCGAATTTATATTAACTATTTAATATAAATGATTTTATAATTATATTTTAATATTTATTACAAGTTTCAGTATTTTTTTGTTATGTAATATTGTCATTTTTTATTAGTTTATTTCTATTTAATTTTTTTTTTTCAGTTAGTGCCAACAAGGCAACATTTCTAATATTAGTTTATTTCATCATTATTTCTAATAATTATTTAAAAATATTGCATGAGAAATGAACTCCCTTGCTTTGGATGGAGGTTTGCCAGCAAGTCTAACATAGCACTTTATCTGATCCATCCTTCCACATGAGGGATCTTTTAAAAAAAAAAATCTAATTATAAAACAGATGCATGTTTATAACATTAGCATTCTTCAGAAGGATATGCAGTTTAGCAGGTGCTTCACAAAAAAAAAACAGCACAAAGTTTGACAAGCCACATTCTATTGTTCTCATTATTTAGGAATGATAGCATTTCTCTAACTTCCTCCTTATTACTGTCATGTACATGTCTTGCTCAATTTCATTTTGTTTTCATTGTCACCATTTGCCTGACACCTAGTTCATTATTAGTTGTGGTTTTTAATTAGTTCCAATCTGTTCCCTGTTCAGTTGATGATCTTCCTTTGTGTATACTGTATAAGCCCAATATTTCTTCTGTTCATTGTCTTGCATTTACGTTTATGGTAGTTGTGTTTATTAAAGTGTTTTTTGTATTGATTTTCGTAATCCTGTGTCACGCATCTCTTCTTTGAGTTATGTTGCTAAACAAGAATAGCTGCTGCAGAAGTGCAAATGAAACATGAGATTTTCACAAGAAACTCAGTCTCAATAAATGGTATTTTTACATGAAAGCAAGTAATGAGTTTTGAAACTTGAAATTAATTTGAATTTTTTCTATTTCTCATGAAATTAACCCTTTAAATTTACAAGGGATAGTTACATGTTTAAAGTATACTTTTATTATGTGTTACCAGGGTTATTGTCATTAACTAAAAGTATTTTAAACTTTAAAACAAAATTATTCATTGAAATGAAGCTTAAAAAATAAATAAATAAATAAATAAAGATAAACTAAAACTAAAGCTGAACTAAAAATAAATTAAACTTAAATATTAATATAAAAAATCTAAAACTAAAAAAAACTACAAAAAAGATATATATCTAAATTAATATTTATTTATATTTATTTATAATATTTATTTATATTTAAATCTAAAATATTATATACATAAAATTAGAATAACACTGTGTGCTACTCCTAATCATAATAATTATACATAATAAACGTCTCTGTGGCCTGAGAATACTAAACTCTTACCAGTTTCAGATGAGGTCTGCGATCCCCCCTCACTGACTCCTTTAGTGCCTCCTAAGAGACTAAAATCACCTGAGGACAGAAGAGCACATGCAAAAACACACGTGACGTCAGACGCTTTACAAGTAATGTGCATTACATAATCAAATTACTTTGTAACAAACGTTGTAACAAAAACTTTATAATTTAAAGAATTGAAAGGCAGGAACAGACAAAATTAATGTTTTCACATCAATCTCAGACAATGCAGTTTGTTAAATATGTATGTTTATACCAGTGTCAGTCGAAGAGGAAAGCCCTGGTTCACTGTGTGACCTCAAAAGGGGCAAGAACCCATCGCTGTCTTTCCGATCCCGCCCAAATTGCTCACGTAAGCATGGCCTCAGAAGGAGCGGTCCAGGAGTGTGGTCCGTGCGGTCTTCAGCAGGACCTGATAGGGCTGTGGTAGGTGGGTTGCGAAATGCGGATGAGGAGTCCCGTCGGGAGGGCGTGCAGAGCCGAACTCGGATTTCCGGGACAAAGGAATGCTGAGATCCCGCTAAGAACTCCAACTGAGAGCAGCTACTCGCCAACAGAGCTTGACGCCTCAGCAATGGAGACCTATGGAGGAAATAATTAAGATTTACACCTGAGAAGTGATTTTGTTTAACAATTTATTAACGATTTAACTCTTTCCGACCTGTAGGTAGAGGTGTTGTATGAGCTGGGGGAGGAGCAGGAGTTCGATCTCTCGCCTCTGAAACAATGCCTGCTGGAAGGAGCGGCCACCATTCCCTCAGGATGCTGTGTGGAACGGAAGCTGGCATACTCTCCCCCCTCCCCTCCCTCGCTGTCCCCCCGTGGTTGTGCCCGCACACCGACACCCACTTCCATGAGGCAGGAGTCCTCGGACGGGGAGCTGTCATCTGGAATATCCACAATCTCAGACATCAACAGAGAGCCACTGTCCATTGACACTAATAGAGAGAGAATATACAAAATGTGCACATATACACATGGATTCAATAGTATTCATACGCACTCGGCACACCAGTGAAAGAGATGGAGGATTACATAAAAGATGGCATGTCTTACTCTTGACAAAAGTGTATCACAGAAGACACATTTGAAATGAATGTCACTGAAAACACATCTTCACACAAGGTGTAAACAGGGCCTGTTTCCTGAAGGCTCACCTTCAGCACTGAAAGCCGTGGATGTTCCTCTCTCTCCGGACAGCTCACCAGCTTGAGTGTCAAACACTGTGGCCTGTAAATAGTGAGAGTGTCATCATGACCACAGAATTAAAAGATAATGATGATGATGATTACAAAGTATGACGATAAAATATAGAATTTGGACTTAATATAGACTACTATTTAAAAGTTTGGGGTCAGTGAAATTAAGAAATTAATCATTTTATTCAGCAAGACTGCACAATATAAATAATAATAATTTGTTACATTAATGTAGCGCTTCTCTCTGCACTCAAAGTGCTTTACATATGGTAGGGGGAACCTCCACCAATGCGCAGCATACACCTGGATAATGTGGCAGAAGCCATATTGCGCCAGAACGCCTAGTACCACACACCGGCTTATTGGTGGAGAGGAAACAGAGTGATGAAGCCAATCATTATGGGGATGATTAGGAGGCCACGATGATGGACAGAAGCCAAAGGGCAAGTTTGGCAAGTAATCAAAGATGAGTCAACTCGATGCTCAACAAGGCTGCATTTATTTAATCAGAAATACGGTAAAATTTGTGCAATATTATTACAATTTAACAATGTAACCATTAGGGATACAATTATTGACTACAGGGGGACTTTAAATTGACTAAAATTGACTACAGGGGGACTTTATGTGACTAGAATATATTTTTTATATTATTTATATTATATATTATAATATATTATTATATATTATTTATATTTTTTACCTGACTAGAAGCCCTTTGACCCATCACTGCCTCATAAGGAGGAGGACAGTCAGTAGGGTACAGAGGCACTGGACTCTCCATTGATCCATTATACGTGACACTGCAAGTACACACAGAAAAAAAGGCATGAGGAAAAAAAAAAAGAAAAGGCATGACATGGACGGAGTGTGGTTAAAATGAGCAGATGCCTATAGAAATATAAACATAAATGAGAACCATTTAATGGAACAATACTCAACCAGAGCAGCTCGTATGTAAGCTTCATTACTAAACATACAATTTTAAAATGTTTTAAAGGTTTTCCTAAAAGATTTGTTGGGTGGGATATTGTATTAGCTCAGTACGAAACAACCAAAATAATGGAAGAAACAAATATGTGTGTGTTTTCACCTCTGTGCATCAGTCTCAGAGCTGCAGGTGTATTCAGGAGGGTAGTAAGGTGGTGGGGGAATGGGTGGAACAAACTCCTCAAAGTCCATCATGTTACTGAGAAATGCATCCTGAGGAGTGGTGCATTCTGGGTTTACAGAACGGGAGCGATGAGGAGCCAGCTAAAACAAACAAAGTTGGATGGTAGGAACATGTTACATTGTAACATTATACTATTAGTAAACCTAGTGTTTCAGTGTAAAAGATGTTGTGCATTTTGTCTCACTAGATGCAGCAGGTCCAGAGAGAAGATATGAATGCTGCAGGTGACTGTGGACAGAGTGCAGATAATGGTGGAGAGAATACTGAGACCACAGGCACTGAACAGCAAGTCCTGCACACACATATACAGTAATATCATGGTTAAATTCATTCTTATTTAGGCACTATATATATATATATGAAGAGTTCAGATGCAAAAGCCTCTAAGTGCCATTTGAAATGTTGTTCTAGAATGACCATTTTTATCAAGCTTGTGTATTTAAGTTCAGTAATTTCACATAAATGGCAATTAATAGGTAATCTTCATTGCCATTTAAGTGAAATTACTGAACTTAAATATACAAGCTTGATAAAAATGATAATTTTAGAAGAAAATTTCAAATGGCACTTAGAGGCTTTTGCATCTGAACTCTTCATATATATATCTATATATATAGTCACTGATTAATTACACTGACATAACATTTTCCTTTACTTGAAATAAAAAATTTGCAAATCTTGTTTACAATCTTAAAAAGCAGATACCTTGAGCTGGTGACGCACAGCGTGGCAATCAGAATGTTGGTAGAGCACTAGTGTCTCATCTTCTGTTGGAGAGCACGTCTGCTTTGGGTCACAGCAAAGACACAAGCGATTCTCCATCTGGAACAAACACACAGATATTATTTGAAGAGAAGAGAAGAGAAGAGAAGAGAAGAGAAGAGAAGAGAAGAGAAGAGAAGAGAAGAGAAGACTACCTGACAGGTAACATAAGATTTGACCATCTGTGCATTCTGACATGACAGCATGGAACCAGCCAGACTGAGAATCACACACACTGCAGACAGCAGCATGAACAGCGACACCTGAATGAAACAAAAATAACATCACTGCAAAAACTAAAGACTTAGCAGACAAATGGACACACTTAAGAGATCATGTTGAGATGATACGGTACATACGACAAGAGTGAAGGGCCTCCTCCATGATATCACACCTACTACTCCTGATGCCACAACCTGTTCAACAGACACAAAAAAGTTATACTGTAGATCAAGGGACATTTTCTGTCCAATGTCCATTATTTTAAAAAATCTGCAGATTTTTTTTTAGATAGATAGATAGGACACTGCTGACATGTCATGCCATTGTTAATATATTCAAAGAAACTTACGAAGAAGCCAGCCCAGAAAGGACAGGACTGTCTAACACGGGGTGATGAGGTGAAGGCCAGGCTTGTGAAGCTGAAGGCCAACACCATGGCCCCAAGTGCAAGGTGACACAAGCCCAGGTACAGCAGCAGGCGCGCACTGGTCCTCCCAGACATTCCTCTGCGACTACCAGACAAAGCTCGAGACCCCGACATCGAGGCCACGCTACTGGAGTCCGACGGTGAAGGCATGATGGCAACTGAAATACCTCTATGTGACAGTTCAAAAGATATGGGATGTGAATGAAGATACTTCTTTAAATACAGTTAGGGTCTATATAGGGTCCTAAAATGAATCCCACCACAGCTGTTAAAACTGAACTTGACACACATGTGTTGTGTTAATATTTTTTCTTGGCGTCGTACATCTGCATTCTCCAATCCTTGATTTCGCCCGCTCCATCGCCCACCTGCCGTCTCTCTCCCCCTGTCCCCGCGGCATTGCGGTACCCAGAGCCTTTAGCAGGCCGAGTGTCTGCCGCATCCGCAGGCCAGAGAAGCAGCTTTGGCCTTCTGGCTACACCGCGGAGGAGGACGCGCGGAACAGGACTAAAGAAACAATCCCAGTCCAGCTCACATCGAAGTGTGTCTTCCCCGGGTTTCTACTACAGAGCCTTACATTCCCCGCCTGAGCTCGGAAGAGACGTCTCGTGAAGCAGAACAGTTTCAGGAGAGGAAAGGGAACGATCGACAGAAAAAGGAAATTACATTTACGAGGACAAACTCGCTCACTCGCTATGTTGTTCCCATGATGCATCCGTTTGTTTTGTATAATAATTATAACGCAATGGTGTTCCAGGCTGTGAGGGAGTTTGATCCTATAGCCAGTCTCCCCGTTTTCCTCCCGCAGTCACGAGGACACCCGTCCCGTCCGTATCCCGGACATGAGCATCACTACGTAATCGCGCCAGACTTGTAATTGTCTTAGTTTACGTTGTCATTCACGCTTAATATATTTACGTCACGTAAATGTTATCCGATGCCATTTCAGCTTGACTCCGTTTTAGAAAGAAAAATATAGGCAGCGCATTGTGGTAGCACGTGTCCCTAATATTTGTTCAATGCGGCACCGCATTCACCCAGAGCGAGGTGCTGATGCTGCACTGAATAGGCGGTTGCTTGGCAACCTACTTCGACAGTCGCAACGGTTGGCGACATTTCCGCGCATGCGCAGTATATAGCTTTGCGCTTGCATCGAAAAAGAGGTGAGAAATACCGGAGTGGCCAAAGGGGATGTCCGGCTCAGGATTGACATCTTCAATCTACGAAATATTAATAACTGAAAAGTAATGGAGGTGACCATGGCGAAATACTTTAAAGAGGCTGACGAGAAATCAGAAGTCCGCTTCAATAGACTTGAGAAACGAATAGATAATATGCACGCAACTCTCTCGCGGCACACGGAAGAGATAAAGAGCATTCACACTGAATCGGTGAACCTCCGGGAACGTGTGGCTAATGTGGAAAAATCGGCTGCCCTAAGTTTGAAGAATTTACAAACTTATGAAGCTAAACTAACTGAGATGGAAGACAGGGCACGCCGGGATAATTTGCTCGTATTTAATCTCAAGGAAAGAGTTGAAGGGGCGAATGCTCGCGCCTACCTGATGGATAAGATCTTGGAATGGTTTCCTGCCCTCGAATCCTCGCGGCCTGAGCTGATGAGGTGTCACCGCCTGGGTAAACCTCCTACGCATGGTTCTGCAAAGACCCGTCCTCGTCCGCTTATGGTTAAGTGCCTCCGTTTTACGGATCGAGACCGCCTGCTTGGTGAGGCGAGGAAAAGCCCTCCTGAGGTGGATGGCGAGCTACTGACATTTACTGCAGATTATAGTGAGCCCACAACAAGGCGTCGGAAGCCGTGCTATAAGATCATGTATGATGCCCGCTGCCTTGGATTCGAGGCCTTTCTTCTCTATCCAGCTACAATTAAACTTTCACGGGGGAAAGAAATGTACACGTTTCAAGAGGTGAGCGAGGCTGAAAAGTTCGTTGCTTCCCTGAAGGACTAAACCATTGGCTCTGAGGATAAAAGCTACGAAGGGTAAGACTGATCTAAGAACTCTATCTAAGCAATAGTTCCTAAGAGCTGCTCGAACCGCTGTGTTAAGGCGTCTTTCGTCTTGTTTTTCCTTTCTATATCTGGATATGAGCTGTCCATATGTTGTTTTTTTTGTTGTTGTTTTTTTTTTTTCTGTTGTTTTTTTATATTTAGGGCATATTTAGTGGACAGCAAGCTTTTATGTTAAGTGCTATGGTTAGAATGTCTTGAGAATAATATTAGTGTGCTTAATTAACTATGGTGCTGACCCACAGTATAAAGGCAACCTTATATTTGATCTGAGGGTGGTGGGGCTGTGACTGTCTTCCAAGATGACTGGTATATTTTCTGGGAGGGTGGGCAGTCTTCTTTCTTTTTTGAGAGGACTCTGGATGGTCAAGGCTGAGTATTTTTTGTTTGTTCAGATGTTTGTTATTGTTGTTGTTTTTTCTTTTTTCTTTTTTTTTCTTTTTTTGTGTGCCTGTATTATTGTTATTATTATTATTTTTATGATCATGTCTGTGTGGGTATGTATGGGGTATGTGTTGGGTGGGGGGATTCTGGATGCCGACCCGGACATTGTGCCTATCGAGACTTTATTTTTTTTTGCTCTTGTCTGGTTCATTTATATTTATGTGCAAAATTACAATATGAATAAATATGAGTACTATTAATGTTATGTCATGGAATGCACGGGGCCTTAATTCTCCCCAGAAGCGTATAAGCACCCTGAAGCTTCTTTACAGAAAGAATATTCATTTTGCTTTTATTCAAGAGTCGCATTTACTTGTAGCTGATGTACATAGATTCAAGAATAAACACTACCATGTGGTCGCTTCCTCATGCTATATTAAGAAGAGCAAAGGTGTTCTCATAGCTGCAAAATGTGACTTAAATTATACAATTCTGGGCACAGGGGGATCCGATGACGGTCGAATTACATTTTGCAAAATAGTGTATAATGGTATTAAAATTGCACTGATGAGCGTTTATGCTCCAAATTGCTTTGATCAGCACTTTTATAATTCATTGGCCTCTATTTTAATGGATCTTCCAGAGTTCCAGCTCTTGATAGGAGGCGACTTCAATGCTGTATGGCTTCATGATATTGATAGAACAGGGGCAGTAGAGAGCAGAGATCAGCGATTAGCATCTATTGCATTGAAGAAATTGTCTACTGATTTTGGAGTGATTGATACTTGGCGGATGATGAATCCTTCTTCTAGAGAATTTTCCTTTTTCTCATCTCGCCATAAATCTTTTTCTAGAATAGATTACATCTTCTCATCCAAAACTCTCTTCAATGTCATTTCCAGCACCGAAATGATCCCAATGGCTTTGTCCGATCATAGGATTGTCTCATGTAGTTTTTCATTAAAAGCTGCTCAATCCAGGGCAGTTCGTTGGCGTTTTAACACATCTCTGCTCCAGAACAATATTTTTATACGTGAGCTGGAGGCGGAGCTGGAGGAATTTATTAAAATAAATGGCCCTTCAGTTGATGACCCACGAGTGCTGTGGGATGCGGTTAAAGGGTGCATCAGGAATAAAACTATTTCTTTTGCATCCCATATTAATACATCTAAAAAATATCAAATAAATTGCTTGGAATCAGAAATTGCAGCTCTTGAACAAGAAATTCTAAGCAATCCCTCTTCGGAAAATATTTGTAACCGACAGAAATTAGTCAATGAACTTAGCAGCTTGCTAATAAGGGAAGCAGAATTTAATATTCATCGTACTAGGCAAAATCACTACTGTAACAGTGCTCGTCCCGGCCGTCTGCTCGCTTATAAATTAAGGAAAAATGATGATCTAGCAAAGATACCAGCTATAAGGACTCAACAGGGGGATATAACATCTGACCCGGAATGCATCAATAGCACTTTTCAATTATTCTATCAAAATCTCTATACGTCAGAGGTGCATCATGATGATAGAGCCTGTTCTGATTTTTTTAAATCTTTACATCTACCTAAATTGCCTCCTGAGGCTGTTTGCTCCCTAGAGGCACCAATTCAGTTAGAAGAATTGAGTTTAGCTATTAAGGCAATGAATAAAGGCAAGTCTCCGGGCCTGGACGGTATACCACCAGAACTGTTTGAGACTTATTGGCCTCAGCTTGGTCCTTTATTGTTGAATATGCTAAACTTCTCTATTGATAGAGGCTCTCTCTCTGCTAGCTCAAATGTTGCAATAATATCTCTATTACTTAAGAAGGACAAGCCACCGGACGACTGCTCTTCCTATAGGCCACTAAGTCTTCTGAATTGTGAAGTCAAGCTATATGCCAAGGTTTTAGCTACACGCTTAGAACGATATATGACTTACTTGGTTCATCATGACCAAACTGGGTTCATCAAGTCTAGATTAGCATCGGATAATGTCCGTCGCTTGCTTCATATCATAGACTTTGCTTCCAATTCAGAAGATCAAAATGCCATTGTCTCTTTAGATGCCGAGAAGGCTTTTGATCGGCTGGAATGGGGTTACCTGTGGTCTGTTCTTCGGGCTATGGGTTTTGGTGATAGTTTTATCTCTATGATAAAGTTGTTGTATACCAACCCCTCTGCAGTCGTCATAACAGGCAGCAACTGTTCAGCTAGGTTTCCAGTTTCAAGATCGTCTCGTCAGGGTTGCCCTCTATCGCCACTTTTATTTACTTTATCTTTGGAACCTGTTGCCCAGGCAATACGGCAGTCGGAGGCTTTGGAACCAATTATTATTCAAGATACACTACATTGCATTTCTTTGTATGCAGACGACATTTTGATTTTCACAAAGAATCCTTCTAGAACCCTTCCACATCTTTTTAAAATTTTTGAGAACTTCAGCAGTATTTCAGGTTACAAAATAAACTGGACAAAATCGGCTTTAATGCTGTTGGGGGGACTGGATGACCAAATACCACTGTTTAATATTCCAGTTGTTAGTAGCTTTACATATTTAGGAGTGTCCATCAGTCCCTCACTCAACTTGTTAACTGCTGATAATTATAATAAAGTTCTAAAGAATGTGGAGGGTGATTTGAATAGATGGGTGATGCTCCCTACTTCTTTTCAGTCAAGAATTTCAGTTATTAAGATGAACATTTTGCCTCGTGTTAATTTTGTGAGTAGTATGATCCCCCTAGCTCCACCGGGTGGTTACTGGAAGAAGCTTCACTCAATCATTAGTCTTTATTTATGGAATAGGAAAAAACCCAGAATTAAAGCATCTACTCTACAAAGACATAGATCATCAGGAGGCATTAATTTGCCCAATTTTGAGTGGTATTCCTGGAGTTTTGTTCTGCGCTCACTTGCTATATGGAGGAATCCAGAAATTTTGGTCTCATGGCGTCCAATTGAAGAACGCTTAACTTATCCATATTGCCTGTCTAGTTTGGTATTTTCTAATATACCCCTTAGTACAGTTAAACGTAATTTTGGGCCAATAATTTCTTATTTTTTTACAGTATGGCATAAAGTACACCGATTTGCTAAAATCCCAAACACATTTGTTGCCCAATCTCCTATTTTCAACAATCATTTACTTCTAATTGAGAAGAAACCGATTGTGTTCCCTCAGTGGAGCAATAGAGGGGTTTGTGTCCTCAATGATATCATAGGGGAACAAGGTCTCCGTGCATTCCATGACTTGAAGAAAGCATATAACTTACCGGGCACTTCTTTTTTTTTTTATTTACAATTACGCACAGCAATGTGCGCTCAGGGCGTTCCTTGGGGTATTAAGTTGGGGAATCATCCCCTTCACGAAATCTGTGCCACTAAGGGTAAAATTAAAGGTATCGTCTCAGAGGTATACAAGTTTATAATTACAGCTTCTTATAAGCCTTTATCTCTTTTTAGACTCTGGAAGACCGATATCGACATTTCTGAGGATCTAGATTGGGGTGCGGTTTGGTCAAATATCTCTTTATCATCTAGAAACCCTGACCATCAAATGATACATTACAGATTGATTCATAGATTTTACTTAACCCCACGAAGATTACAGCAAATGAAACTTAGAGACAACCCATTTTGTGATTTTTGCTCAGACAATACAATTGCTACTTATTACCATATGGTGTGGCAGTGTCCAGAGGTCAATAGTTTTTGGCATAGTATTTCATCTATTTTGTCAAGTATTTTGAAAAGACCCATTCCTCTTTCACCATGTTTGTTTCTGCTCAATGATACATCGTCTTTAAATTTAACTATTAATAACAGACGTCTTCTCTTGGCTGGTTTGACAGCCGCTAAAAAAAATGATAGTTTGTCGCTGGAAACCACCACATACATTGTTAATGAGTAAATGGTTATCTTCTTACCGGGAAATTGCTCAACTAGAGCTTTCTACAGCACGTTTACATTTTACAAAATCCTTTAATATTGATTGCTGGTTAGAGCTATTAGAAATAATAAATGAAATGTAGATAAGTCATTTTTTTTATTTTTTTTATTATTTTTTTTTTTTATTATTTATTTATTTATTTTATTTATGTGGGGAATTTGCATTCAATGTAATGTTTGGTTTTGTTATGTAATTATTACTCAAATATTGTATTGACCTATGTGGTTCCTATAATATGAAGGAGGAGGCCTGAATTCTTTCAATGTCCGGTGTTCTGCTTTGTGTTTTATGATGTTTTGTGGATTTTTGTGGTTTTTACGATGAGGTAGGATGGACGGGTGGCAATGGGAAAGGGCTGATATGTATGTGTGTGGATGTCTTAGAGTGTCGAGTATGTTTTTTTTTTTTTTTTTTTTTGTGTGTTGCTCATACCTTGAGCGAATCTAGCTAGGGGCTGGAGGGTGGGTTTGGGTTGGGTAGGATATGGTGAGGAGAAGAGATACTGGCATCTGAACAAGCAATATTATGTGCTTCTGTTATACTGGTAATGATGGTTAGCCTATTTCTCTCCTGTGAAAATGTTTCCCTCTCTAGTGTGTAAAGTATGATTGTAAGAAATTGAATAAATAATTGATCACAAAAAAAAAAAAAGAAATATTAATAACTGATTATGTTGAAGTCAATGTATGCTTTTTCCTATGAGCTTTTTGTTTTGTTAATGCTTTTTTAACAGGTTTGCTTAATAATTTTGCCATACAATTACCTTAACCAAGTTTAGTGTTTTGTTCTTCCCTCATATTTAAAGTTTTAAAAAATATTTATTTAAAATATTTGAAAAATCTAAAATATTTCTTCATATTTTCATGGACTAATTAAACTTGTATGGGGTAATTAAAAACAAATCGCCTATGGACACTCTGGCCACAACTGTACATAGAATTTAGATATATATTTTTTAATTGCCAGGAAAATAAAAACATTCACAAAATGTTGAGCATTGTTCACTTTATTAAAAGCAGATCATTGTACATTTTCTGAGAAATATGCAGTGTCAAAGAATATTAAAAAGTGTAATAATGCAAAAAGACAGAAAGAAACACTGTAAATTTTCAGTAGAACACTATTACATCCATCCATACACCCACCCACAATCCATCAATTCTTTTCTCACACAACTCATTTAACATCCTAAATTCTCTTATCCATCCATTTTAAGCGGTCACAGTCGGTAAAAATTGAAGTTATTCACCTTTTATAGCAGCGACCATTCAAACCATTTGTCAAAAAGTGCAGATGAGCTGTCAAACTGGACTATATTTTTATATCTACACCTGAAATAATGCTGAAGAGCGCAAAACTAGGACTTGAGCAAGTAAAACCAACATTGTCAGCATTGTAGCCTAGTCACTGTTTGTGTAGTGCGAAAACAAACATGAAAATAAAAAAAGGTGATTTTCCTCTACATGAAAGCTGTACCCTGTATATCATTTAATGCATTTCATCATACTACTGCCATCTTTCTTGGAAACCACTTCCTATTAGCATTCCATGATCACTTTACAAATAACATTCAGAAATTAATAAAGTTCTTTGTAAGAGTGTGTGTGTGTGTGTGTGTGTGTGTGTGTGTGTAGTGAGGATGTCCTCTGGGTAAAGGCATATCTAAAGAAGAAGACACTTGGAGGACTTTTTCTCTGTGCTGTTAGTAATTTTAACCTCTTGGCCAGATGGACCCTGCAAAAACACAAAATATACTGTATTAACTCTGATAAAAGGCCTACAGCCTTGCAGCTTTACAGTTCATGTTCATTTATTCTTTAGATCTGAAAATAAGTTTAATTTATTATTTATTATTTTTTTAAATTATAATTTATTAAATTATAAGTTTAAAAATAAGTTTAGTACTTCAAAACTGATTGTGTGTTTGTTTCAGTATTAATATGCACAGACACTAAGCATTATTGTTCATTTTCTCTATGTACACACACTGGAAACTTACCGACTTCTTATTTGACTTCAGCAAAATGTCTCGAGCAAGAGAAGCAAAAGACTATGGAGAGAAAGGTAAATTTGTCAAAATGTAGACCAACTATATAAAATCCAACTTATTAAAAAGCACAGAATACAGATTTAGTACTTTTTAAGGAAATTTTTGCCACTGAAATAGATATCATATCTGAGTAACAGATAAAGATTGACTGTCCCTATAAACAAATCCTACAAATAAAAATAGCATTTCTCTGTTTGCCTGTTAATTTTTTTTTGCTAAGTGAACATAATGAATCAGCCAATTCATACCTCCTCAACGTTGATGCTCGATTTTGCACTAGTCTCAAAAAATCGAATACCATGTTCCTTTGCAAGCTATAAAGAAAGAAAAATGACAATAACTTTATGATGAAAATTATTTAAAGGGATAGTTCATCCAAAAATGAAAACGCTGTCATCATTTACTCATCCTTAAGTTGTTCCAAACCTGTATGAAATTCTTTCTTCTGCTGAACATAAAAGAAGACATTTCATAGAACATGGGTAACCAAACAGTTGAGGGATCCCATAGTATGAACAAAAATAAATAAATAAAAAATACTATGGAAGGCAATGGCTAATGTCAACTGTTTGGTTACTGACATTCTTCATTCTATCTTCTTTGGTGTTCAGCAGAAGTAAAAACTCATTCAGATTTGGAACAACTTGAAGGTGATGACAGAGTTTTCATTTTTGGGTGAAATATCCCTTTAAGTTTGCCAAATGTGCCAAATGTAACAAATTATACATGTGGTAAATGGTGATAAGTTTATATGTTATAAATCATGATATGCAATGCTGTAAATCATATGACTGAAATGTCATTCAAAGCAAAAACAAAACTCCTTTTTTACGCACTTGGATGGACAAAGAAAGGCATCTTTTCTCAAACTACATACTGGTAGTGTGTATGACAACAGCACTCACCTTCTCACCCACCTCCGTTGACACTTTCCGCTTGGTCTCGATATCACACTTGTTACCCAGTAACATCCGACTTACACCTGCGGATGCATTCTGGGAAACACAGAAAATAATCATGTGCTCACTTCCTTATTTTGCTTTAAAACTGATACTTGTTTTAACAAAAGGCCCCATGTATTTCTAGTGCGTCTCTTTTCTGGTAACCTGTGCAGGATCTGCTTCCTATGGCATCTTATCAAGAACTGAAACTCACATTTAATGAAGCCTGTTTCATTTTCATCAGAAGAACTAAGTTCAATCCAACTACATATTTTACACCATTGACAAGGGAAAAGCCACTACACACGGTGCTTATGGCTAGCTTCTAGCTTTCTGCGGCTTCTCTTTCAAGCTAGTGACGAAACACGCTCTATAGATAGAAACATGACGTCACAATTTGTCGACCTTCATAGAAGGGGGTGCCCGCGGTTATGTAGATCTAAAAGGTAATAAAAGCTTTACTGTTTATTAATTATGTTCATTATACACCACTGAAAACATTGTTATGCATGTCATATTCCATTTCTGTTAATAGATAGATACTCAAAATGTTTACACATTTCACCTTTAAAATGTACTATGTCAACCTGTAGGCTACCTAAAACTCCTATGACAGACAGATTTAATTTTCCTTTCTCTCTTACTTCTTTGATGCCCTTCATCCAGTTCTGAATATTCTCAAAAGATTTTTCATCAGTGATGTCATACACAAGGATGATGCCCTGAAAGAGATGATCAAAATAAAACACCATTAACATTATGTGTATGATTTGTCATATCCAAATAACTCGAATTAATCTTGGTTTCACAATAATCACATATGTAAGTTTATGGCTATTTAAGGAGCAAGAAGATTAGATTTGTTAACATTTGTGTTTCTTGTCTCACCATTGCCCCTCTGTAGTATGCAGTAGTGATGGTCTTAAACCTCTCCTGTCCCGCTGTGTCCCTAGCAAATAAAACCAGTTGCACACATAAGACATTGGAGCAGTCAGAAAGCTTGTCAGTAAAAAAACAAAATAAAAAAAAAACATGCGACTTATGTAACAACAATCTCATTTGGCATGTTTAACACACATATTTTATAGCAACTGGACTCTGTACTTCCGGCTGTCACTGCCGTTAGACATTAATCAGTTTATTGAGTCAGGTCTGGGACTGAGACTAAACTTGACAATCAGACTCACTCCACCTTTGGCACATTTACACCAAACATACAGTTTTAACAGTCAGCTGTCCAACAGATACACACACTGAAGACTTCTTGTGTACATAACACTGCCACCATATTTGCCCAGACATTCTGTACACATGTAGAGAAATTCAGCTGAATAGACGTGCACAATTTAACTTCTCCGATTTATCAAACAAACAGGACTCACAGCAAATCAAATGTGTGCATCTAATTTTATAATGTATTTTTTTATTTATTTATTTTTTTACCAGACTTGCAGTTTAACTTTCTTCCCATCAACCTCAATAGTCTTCACTTTGAAGTCAATACCTAGGAAAAAGGGGGAAAAGGAAATGGATAAACAGGAGGGGCAGGAAGGAAGGGTGGACATATTTTAACCCCAAGAGGCTCAATAAAAGTGGACTGGTGCTGCTGCATATGTTTGCTACATTCAGAAACACAGGAGCAGGGATAATGAAATATATCGGTTTAATAAACACCCTGGTTTGTTTTTCAGTGAATTGGGAGGGAGGGAGGGAGGGGTCTTTTGAAGATCTGGGTGAATGCACTAAATGCCATGGAAGATGGCCTTCATCTGATGCAGAAATGAAGGGGGTGTAACTCGTGGACGTGAGATTGGGGAAATGAGATACAGAGAGGGACATGGAAGAAATAAAGTAACTTAGTGCGAAAGGGCCGGAAATGCAATCAGGGCGGAGGAGGATCCGCAGGACTGATTAAGTTATACTTGGGAAGAGGCTGGAATGAGATGACGTTTAGACTACTAGTACTGACATGAACAAACACTTGGGGTAGCACTTGCTTTGCAAGGTAAAAAAAAAAACTGAGCAGTAGAGGGAAACATCTTGCCTTATCAAACAGTATTACAAACAGTTTCATTGTGTAAGTTACTTACCGATGGTTGATATGTACGTTGAATTAAAATTGTCTTCTGCGAAACGGATGATCAGACAGGTCTTGCCAACACCACTATCGCCAATAAGCAATAATTTATAGAGGAAGTCGTATTTCTTTGCCATTGCTAATTTCGCCTATAGCTTTAATCGCGTTTCAAAAGACTTCCCTCCCGTTTTTGTTAACAAACAGTCACGCGCAGAGTTTTAAAATCCTTCCGACTGAAACGTTTCCTCGTCTGAAACTTCATGGGTTTTCTTTCCTTGAAAAAATGTCACCGCTAAAATCAGTTTTGCTTTGTTGCCGTTGTCCGTCCAGATAAGAGGTAAAAAATCCATTAAAGTTGAAATGTTTTCTTACAGCTCTTTTTCAGAGTGGTCCGGATGCCACGCATTTTCTATTTCTGGCTACGCTGCGCTAGTGTTCTCTCTTGTACGATATACTTAAAGGTATTCATCCATACATAGACAGCAACAGACTTTTTTTTCCTCCCTAAACTTTCCCTTGCCCGAGTTCCCAAAAGCTGACGTCGAGGGAGGGAGAGGTTTAATAAAGCACTGCTGACGAGAACCGATCAGCGTTTGTCAACAGAGGGCGCCATTGCCACACAACACGATGCTGAAACGAAGCACCCGTTGAACTCTTCTGTATTTAGGTCATTTTGTCATTTTTGGTGTGTTCGTGACGTTGTCAAAATATAAAATATTTTTAGTATATATATATATATATATATATATATATATATGAAGAGTTCAGATGCAAAAGCCTCTAAGTGCCATTTGAAATTTTCTTCTAAAATGATCATTTTTATCAAGCTTGTATATTTAAGTTCAGTAATTTCACTTAAATGGCAATGAAGATTACCTATTAATTATCATTTAAGTGAAATTACTGAACTTAAATATACAATATATATATACTCCTCCGATGAAATTGTATCCAAAAACACACTACCCCCTGCATCAGAGACTTAAGCCTAGTCCCTGATTAAAATGCATGTTAGAGCTATCTTAATTGAAAGCAACTTGCACTGACATATCTGAAAATATTGTTATGTTATCTGCCATATTGTTTTGTCTCAAGATATTTTTTCTAAGGCACATTTATAAAGCTAATTTAACTAAGGCCTAATCATGCTTACAGTTTTTTCTGAATGCTTAAGCGCTAATCGTGATTCTTGTAGCACAATTTCTAAAACTATTAATACGTATGGCAAAACCACTCACTGAGTTTGCAAAACTAAAAGCACAAAAACTGCTTTGCACTCAATTTGCAATTTTGTAACACACACTTTGCAAAACTGTAGGCACAATTCACTGCACAACACTCTTTTTGAAGAACTTTAAACACAACTCACTGCTTACACTCAATTACCAAATTTCCAACACACTCCTAGCAAAATTATACACATGTATGGCTATCATTAACACTATTTTGCCAACTGTCTGGCTCACTTTCACATGTGAAAACTGTTTTAGAAAATTAGTTCACTTTGCAATCAGCCTAAGCACTATAAATAAGTCACAGGTACGCTGTCTGTGTGGAGTACAATGGAAGGAGCAGTAAGAGTGAGAAGAGTGAGAATCAGAGGAGGTCGAGGAAAAGGACGTGGAGGTGAAGAAGTTGGTGGAAGGAGCTAGAAGAGGACAAGGAGGCAGAGGGAGAGGATGTGGAGTTGAAGAGCATACCCGATATGTCATCATATGGGACAATGTTAGTTTCCATAGGGCTGCTTTGGTCCACAACTGGTTTACAGACCACACATTCTTCATGGCACTCAACCTCCCTCCATACTCTCCATTCTTACGTAAATCCCATTGAGGAGTTCTGGAAAGTGTACGACCGTCATCCTCATCAACAGGTAGTACTTTTACAGGCAATGGAGGAGGCATGTGGAGATATTGACCAGGCATCATGTCAGGCCTGGATAAGGCATTCAAGGGGATATTTTCCCCGGTGCCTTGGACTGGAGGATATTGCATGCGATGTGGACGGAATTTTGTAGGCTGATTGTTTTTTTGCAAAACTACTCTTTTGTGTTCTGACTTTGTCTTGGTTTTTATGAGTGTGAATAAACACCAATAATTGAAGTTTGTATCCTTGTATGTTTACATGACACTATGACAAAAGTATGACCTCAAATTGACATCTGTACACAGAGACAGCAAAAGCCAGATGTGTTTTGTATTCATACCATCAGTGTGTAGTTGGCACATTGTGTGCTTAGTAGATGATGGCTTGTGTTTACTGTTTGATACAAAAACACAATTTTTACGAAGGTGTGAAGAGTTAATCTAGCTGTGTTTGATTTTGCAAGATAACTACAATGTTTTGATAATTGGGTGAAAGGTTTTCTTATTTGTGTGTAGAGTTTTGCAAAACTAGCCAATAGTTACAAAAAATGTGCTTAAGCAATCAGAAAAAACTGTAATCATCATGGCTTATTCTAAACCCTGTCTGTGAAATCAGGCATACTGGCAACTTTTCTAAACAATACTGAAAACAAGCTTTGTTTTTTTGCATTGGCTAAGTAGGGATTAGTTGTGCAAATTGTGCCCATATCAACTGTTGTTGTCAGAGTAGAGATTTATGTTTAAGTATTCTAAGCTGCTAAATTAAGTAGTCATAGCAGAATAACACAGAAGTTGTTAGTGGTGTTATTTTAGTACTGTTTATTACTATAGCCTAACAACATATTAAGTTTTTATTTTTATATTTTAATTTTAGTTTTAGTAATTTTGTTGTGCTTTTGTCATTTTAATTTAATTTGATAATATTTAGCAAATCTATAGTTAAAAAAAATATTTAGCAAATCTTTACTTAAAGCTTTAGTTAAGTAATTTTAATGTTTTTTTTTTCAGATAGCCTAAACTAAAATTTTAAATTCCATTGCTTTAATTGCCAAAAGCATTGAAATTATTTAATTATAATAAACATGTTTCATACAATATAAAACACCTAATTATGCTTTTGAATGCCGCCTTTATTTATTATTAACCCTCTGGGCTTCTTCAGTCAAAAATTACCGAAACCGTTAACGTCTTGACATTTTTTAATGTTTTGCTTCATCGGAGGGGGATGAAACTTGTTGACTTTTGTTGCATTACCTTTGTGAACACACAAAAAAATCAAGGAGATGATTCGGATGTTAAAGGGTCGTAAAAAAAATAGTCACACTTATCTTCCTCCCGGTCAAAAATGACCGACCATAGGAAATGAATGGGAAATGCGAAAAAAAAAAATAGGAAAACTCAGAGAAACTTTTGGTGGTACAAACTAGGGTTAAGCATGATATGTGAGAGCCTATGTCACAATTCAACATTCCAACATAACCCACCGCCTGTCTTAGCTCAATACTTAGTTAATATGGGTTAAGAAGAAATGCTTTTATTAAATATGAAGTGTTTCCTGCCCCTGCTCACGAGCCCCGTTCATATACGCCATGTATTTCCGCTCGCCCCCCCCTTTTCGGCTGCTGCTCCACTGTCGCCAACATGCCTGTAAGTGCGTGCTATTACAATCAAGTCCATTTAAAACGTAATCACACCTGGTATATGGTTTACATCGCATCGATTGATTGGAGGAGGCTTTTGTCTCCATGGTCTAACTGGCCACATTAAATTAATTGAACATATTTTGAGGTTAAAACTTAGTAGAAAAGGGCGAAGCTCGTGCTATGTGTATAAGACGACAAGATGGCCGCGTACATGCGTTAGAAACTCGTGGAGAGCATCGCTCTTCCCATATAAATAAAACCGTCATTGTTATATGTAGTTGAGATTTAGTAAATAAATAATACGTTAAATAGAATTAATACGTGGAGTAGTGCGTTGATGTGCCTCCTATAGTTTGTTAGACGGAAGTGTGTCATGAATCAGATCACCCTTTTTAGTGGCAGTGTTGACAATCGGTTGATCAGATCTATCATCGCTCTCAAATTATGTTATTGTTAGATATGTAAAAAAAAAAAAAAAAAATAAAAAGGAATTTTTCCCCTGTACAACGTTTAACGTTACACGAGTGCTCATATTATCGTTGTTGCCGAGTTAAAATGCCATAACATGGCTGCGCCCTGCACTCTTGGAAATGGAAACAAAGGTTCTTTGTTGTCATTGATGGTTCTATGAAGAACATTTAACAACCATAACCTTGCCACTGCACAAAAACAGTTTTTTTTAAGAACTGTTCACTGAAGGGTTCTTTGGGGGACCTAAAATGTTTTTGTTATAATATAGAGCAGAGATGGGCAACGTCGGACCACTGTCCTACTGAGTGTAGCCCCAACCCCTAAAAAAAAATATCACCTGCCTGTAACTTTGTAGTAATCCCGAAGACCTTGTTTAGCTTGTTCAGGTGTGTTTGATTAGGGTTGAAGCTAAACTCTGTAGTAGGACAATGGCCCTCCAGGACTGAAGTTGCCCATCCCTGATCTATAGCATCACTCTGAAACTCTGCTTTTGTAACCTTTTTTTTCTAAGAGTTTAAAATAAATCTATTATAGCTGAGATTATCTATGCCAGTTGGCAAAGGTGATTGATACATCTCATCACTTTCAGCTCGCGAAGGACTTGTTGCACCCAACGCCAGAGGAGGAGAAGAGAAGACACAAGAAGAAGCGTCTCGTACAGAGTCCCAACTCTTATTTTATGGATGTCAAATGCCCAGGTAACGAGTAGCACCTCAATGCAGTACATGAGATCCACAGGGAGGAGTCGGATCAAGATCCAAGGGGTGGAGATGGGTAGGATTAGGGTTGGGTTTAGGGATCAAGGGATGGATTTGGGTGTATGTAAGGTGGGAGTAGTTGGATCCGGATCTCCAGGTAACATTTGATTTGATAATACAGGATTTGATTTGAAGAAAAGTAGTATTTGACAAGTAGACAAAAATAAAAGTACAATACTTAACTTTAATGAGGGGAATAACTACAATGACCTGAAGCATCGTGAGTGACAATCAAAATAAAAATTCTGTATGAGCTGTTTATTTGTGTGTATAACACAACACTGAAAAATTGTGTTCCACATACAATAGACATGATTTGTGAATTATATTATGTTTGAACCTATTCGCCATTCTCTCTTTGCAGGCTGTTATAAGATCACTACGGTGTTCAGTCACGCACAGACGGTGGTCTTATGTGTAGGATGCTCTACAGTGCTATGCCAGCCTACCGGAGGAAAGGCACGCCTCACAGAAGGTATTGGCAGTGCACAGACACCACCCAAAGCATGAAAGAACCTAGTTTATCAATTTAGAGGTTGCACGGATTCTTGATAATTCTCTCATAAGCAGAATCTCACAGTGGGATTTTCTTTATTTCTGCAGCAGAGCATTTAGAACATGTTGCACTAACACAAAAAAAAATGTCCTTCGGAATATGACTAATGAATTCATGTTTTCGTGTGGGAGAGCTATGGCTAGAAATGCACTCATAGATCACAGTTGCGCTTGAAAAGTTATCAGCGCCATGGCAACACACCGACACAGACCAATCTAGTGTTTCCCACTTAATCATTGTTCTCTTCTTGAGCTGAAGCTTGATTGGTGAAGCTCTGAAACTCGCTGCCCTGCTGGCGCACAGTTCACAAGAAAAGCCAATGATTCAGTGGCAGATAACAGTCTCAATGATTCAACACTATCTCATAGTTTGGTTCCCTGTCCAAAAAATAGAAGTTCTATCTAACACATGTTCTATTATTTGAAAATGTTTAATAACTACTTTAAAGCACAAATTTATAAAACCGAACGATTTTATAATGTTTTGAGAATTTTGCAGCTGCTAACAATTATTTGATAATTCATTTGTTGCGGAGATTTTTAAAGAGAGAAACATATGTACATATTAAGCAATGTTCTTGGCCAAACTGTGTAAATTGAAGGCTATATATATGAATATGAATCTATTTCTGTTTGTCGCACTCTCTTGTTCTTTTGAAGTCTTTGAAGTTCAAAAGCCCTGTCAATATACGTTTTTCAAAATGAAACGACTTGAATTTCTAACATTTATAGATAAGAAAATAACTGGAAAATGTAAGCAATGCACTGGTGAAAACACCTCAAGCACAATAAACAAGCACTCGCTAGCAACTAACATGCAATGATATGCTTATGACCTTATTTAAAACGTTTAAGCATCTTGGACACCTTTTCCTCGCTCTGCTTCCCATAGAAATGCATTTTCCGCTACTGTGAAGTGTGACGAAATATGGAATTAGTTTTTGACTGAATTGTTTCTCTATAAACAGGATGCTCGTTCAGGAGAAAGCAGCACTAGTCTCTCATTAACCAGTTTGCAAGGATGAGAGAGACCACGGGAGGAGAGACAGGATTGGCCACTCCACAGAGATTTCAGTGACTCCACCCACAACGAGGCCATGTTTATCATCTATAATGAGATGAATGCTAAACCGAGAAGAGTGCTAGAAAACTGTCAAAGTGCTGTCTGAACACAGAGCGTGTGAGGTGTATAACCACCAAACCTGTCCCTCTCTCCCTCTCTTTAAATAAAGGTTCATTTTTCATTTATGTCTGTGTTGTGGTAGATCATTTGCCAGCCAATCTGTATCATCACAGCTACATCAATACTATGGCCTGGTTTCACAGACAAGGCTTAGATGAAGCCAGGATTAGGCCTTAGTTTAATTGAGACATTTAAGTAGCTTTTATAAACGTTCCTTGAAAAACATCATTGAGCATGTTGAGATAAAACTAGATCACAAATTTTTTTTTTTTTTTTTTTTTTTTGAAGATATTTCTGCAAATTGCTTTGTTCATTTTAGTCCGGGACTAGTCTTAAGCTTTGTCTGTGAAACCAGGGGAAAATGTAAGAAATTCAACTTGATGAGGTTTCGTGTCATGCTTGCCTGTTGACTTGATCTCATCACAAGGTAATTGAAATATTTTTCTCTGAAAATATTGTCTGTTTAAATGGGGGAAATTCAGATTGTACACATGGAACTATAGCACTATTGATCTAAAGTGTGGGGTCAGTCAGATTTTTTAAATATTTTTCTCTTAAGTCTCTTATGCTCACCAAGGCAGCCATTGTTTGATCAAAAATGCTGTGAAAACATTAATGCTGTAAAATAAGTTTCACTATAAAATGTGTGTTCTATTTAAAATGTTATGTATTCCTGTCATGGCAAAGCTGACTTTTCAGCATCATAAATCATGTTGATTTGCTGCATTTCTTTGAGAACAGTTATGCTGCTCAATGTTTTTGTAATATTGTTTTTTTCTTGATTCTTTGATTAATATAAGTTGAAACGAATGGAATTTATTTGAAAAAAAAAGGAGTTTAAGGGAGTTGTAAAATGAGCCTATTTCCAAAAAAAGTGGAGTATCCCTTTAATAAATGTAATGAATTCATGCTGAATACATTACTTTAAAAAATCGTATTGACCACAAACTTTAAAGTAAAAATAGTCTGAAAATGAGAAATGATACTCTTTAGGAACCTGAAATGTTTTTACTGCTGAACTGTAGATTGAACCATGACAAGAATCTTTCAAGTACATGTTTTAGTTTTTTTTTCATTTATGACTATAACACAACGGAGGTGCAGTAAGTTAGTTAGTATTCCAGAGCCACTGTTTTCTCTGCAGGACATTTTGTGTTTTCAGTAATGGTGTGATCTACCGATAGAAATATTTTTTGTCCTCTTCTGAAAAAAGTTAGAAAACGTTGATTAAAAAAATAAGCATATCAGGCTCGCACTTTTAAACCAAAATAAGCAAATGAAGGTGACTTTCATGCTGACTTTAACATAAAAGTACTGAATACACCTTTAATCTAAAGCGGCTCTATCAAATAAAATGTGAGGGGGGTGTCATGCACCTCCTTGAGGCTAAACACACCTGTATTAGGGAGGTCTGAGGACTCCAGGTAAAGTTTGTGTGAGAGACAGCATGGTATTGTACACTGGAAATTGAACACATTTAAGAGAATATAAGATGGGCAGGGCTTGAGTCTGAATCACATGTCAGACAGCACTGAATCACTGGACAGCAAACATATTCAGTGTTGGTAAAAGTTAAAACTCTTATGTGTGACCCTACCTATGAAAAGTGCAGCGGTGGAGGCCAGTGCAGCAAAAAGAGCAAATGTCAAAATGCACAAAAGCCCAAAATTTGCTCCAAGGTGACCTGAACATTCAAATAAAGAGCACTGTAGTCGTTACAGAAACAAAGTCTGTCTGTTACTGTCACTACAGTACAAAAGTTTGGGGTTGGCAACATCTTCCATCCTTCAGAAATTGTTCTAATATGCTGATCTGCTGCTCAAGAAGCATTTCTTATTATCAATGTTTAAAATAGTTGTGCTGAGTACAGGCGCATCCCTATTTGCACTATTTTCAGGAATCCTTTGTACATCACAAATGTGTCACTTTTCAGTTTAATACATCCTTGCTGAAGGAAAGTATTAATTTCTTAATAATAATAAAAAAAAATCTTACTGACCCAAAACTGTTGAACAGTAGAATTTTGTGAGAAGTGTGTTTGTTGCTCTCTAACCTGACTCCTGGCTGTCCATCACTCTAATCACCATCACGACGTGTGGTTGTGGAGAAAGGTCTGTATACAGGGTAATGCTTGCAGTAGACGGTACCTGATCCAGGAAATGAGATGCTGAGTAGACTCTAATGAGGAGGAGGGTCGGGTCTTCATCTGACCGGACCGGATCAGACAAAACAATGTCTGTTGTGTCTGACTGAACCTAATTAGATAAGAGAGAAGAAATAAGAAACTGAAAAGTAATTTAATTTCAAATGCATTTTAAATACAATTAATTCAGTCAAGCAGTATAATGATTTCTCCCATGATCCGGCTCATTCTCACCCTTAGAGCACTGAGCATGTCTGTGGTGCCAAACACTGTGATTTCAGCCACAGGCTGCTGGGAGGACAGTTTGATCTTGGTGACAGGACAATGGAACGCTGGCACATACTGGAGCCGAACAGAAGATTGAAAAGAAGGGGGTGAGTTAGGAAGCGACGGCAGGGCGGCTGGGGTTGATTGAGTCTGCAGACGTGCAGACAGATAGATAGAGACAGGCAGAGTGGACAGAAGATGGAGGATGGAGTCTGATTGGGGCTGCACAGTGATCCTGCAGCTGTACTGAGCTGAAACAGCACGACAAGACAGGTCAACCATAAAGGCTAGCTTCATGGGTAAATAAGAACATTTAAATAAACAAATACAAATTTATTGAAGGATGCTTTAAACATGTAACCAAGTTTGAAAATGTGTTTATAATTCATTCTCATGGAATTAGGTTTATCAAATTGATACTTCAATTGTTTTAATTATTATAACACAGTTGGAATCTCTCAGACGCTAAGCATAACAGGAGGCTTTAAAAAAAGTCAGCGATACTTTGTTGCTGTGGTTCTTTTTCTTTTTTCTTTGAATATGTAAAGGATAAAAGTGCAGACAGTGTTTTCTCTTTTATGCCTTTCTCTTCAGTGATTTAATGTACACTTTTCTTTGTCTGTACAATAAAAATTGTTTAAAAAAAGTCAGCATCTTAATGTATTTTAAGTTTTGTAAAACGTGTTTCACCTGTGTCTGTACTGTACAACGGTGTTGAGTGAAAGATTTCCTGCAGAATCCTTATCTCTAGGTAGGGGGCGCCAAAGTGTAAAGAGCACAGTAGCTCTGCCTCAGGATGTAGTTTCTCCTCAATGACCTTCCACTGGTCTAGATTGCATTGAGCTACCAAGCAGAAAGAAAGAGAAAGAGTCAGTCAGACTCAAAACCTCATATTCCATCAGCACAGACATTTGTCCATGTCTCTGAGAGTGAAAATCCTGCCCGGATTATAGAGTTGAGATAATGAAGATGCATAAGTAAAACTTTCCACCCACCACTTGTTTTAATTGTACTTATTAAACAGTTAGATATAATCACCACTGAGAATCATTTCTTGTCTAGAATTAAGTATCCAGATGGGAATTATAATTTATCCCTTTATTTCTTTAATATCTTTAACAGTCTAAATATCCCTCATTATCGGATTAATGCCATGTCAGACGTTTTGTGTACACTATGTAAATGTAATTTTGATCAGGCAATGATGTGGAAAAACTTTATTGACTGGATGCTAAAATATTTTTTTCAAGTTGTGCAAAAAATAAGCAAATAAATACAATTTTCTGACATTGCATCTCTTCAAACACCTGAGAAAAGAGGGAGAACAAAAGAGAAGAGATACATTTAGAAAAAAAAAAGAAAAAATTAGGGAAACCAATTGAATTCAGCTTCTCGAATTAAAAATATTGGGTGGGACTTGATTTTGTCCATCGGAAATTGATTGGATGGTTGTTTCGTGACAGGTTTAGAGGTGTAACGATATACCCTCACGTCACGATTCGATACATTTCACGATACTGAACTCACGATACGATATTATTGCGATACTCCAAGACATATGGTAAAAAATTAACAAAAAATGTACTGTTGATTAAAATGGTAACTTTGATATTACATTGTGGGTTTAAAAGCATGCTTGGGCTTGCTGCTTGTAACCCAAGGACAATGGTGACATCAGAATAACAATATTCATAATTCTGAAGCTGAAAACAGAATTATTTTAGACGAATATGCTTGCACTCTGTCACTGACTAAATAGATTTAAAATAATGTAGGACACTTTTACTGGCAACATCAGACATTTGGCATTATCAGGACCCAAATTGCATTATTTTACATTATAATCAACATTATGTATAGTAGTTTAATGTAGTACTGACACTTTAATGTAGTACTGACAGAAACTTTTTCTCACACTGTAATTTTTATTTTGGGGGAACTATCCACGATACATATTGTCACTATCTACGATACGTATTGTGGCATTTTTGTGTTACGAAATATTGTTACACCCCTAGACAGGTTGTACCGCCCTCAGAGACTGATACTGCAGTATCGACACCATTATTTACATTTGACAGGAACACACATGCAACTTCGTATCTGGACAACGTGCACTGCTCAGTTTAGCCAATCACAACACACCGGCCCAAACTAACCAATCTGAGCCCATTGCCTGTTTCTGAGGGAGTGGTTTCATAGACTCAGGAAGTCAACCGGTCTTTCAAATGACAGAGGAGAACGCGGCTTACAATAAAGGTGAAATTTATGAAAAATAAGACTTAAAAAAAAAAAGAAAAAACACAAATCCGTTATATTACACCCCATAAACACAATTATACAAAGAAAAAAAAAAACAGTAAACCACCCCTTTAAACATCCAGATATTCTGGTTTGCTGATGAGCCTTGTTGAATCTGTTTGACTAAAATAATCTGTGATGAATGTGACTCCTATAAATAGCTTGTCAATGGTGGTTCTTTATGGAGGCTGTATTTACCAGTATCTGTATCTCGTGGAGGATGTATTTACCAGTATCTGTATCTCGACAGTGAGATGATCAGAGAATGAAGAGTTTCTGGTGTGTATTTCTTCGAGCTGCACACGCACTTTGAGGCTGGTCCTGCCTGGAGCTTCGGCTCTCACTAGCACAGAGTAACTGTGAAAGGGAGACACACTAACGCCCACCTAAAACAGACAGCATGATGAACAAACAAGTGTTCATACAAGTCAGTTTAAGATGTGTGTGTGCATCTCACCTGTGCATGCCTGGGTTTGATCTCCAGCACACAGGGTTTGCTCAGACTCCAGTGGAACCTGAGGCCAGACTCGACACTACCCAGAGAGAGAGGGTTCTGACCGCTGTCCCTCCCCATCACGTAAACCGGCATCTAAAAGGAATGATTCATTCAAACCCCTCCTTATACATGTTATGTTGCAAAAAATAATAATGAGCATGAGAAGGACAAACCTTTGTTCCTACAGATAGAGTAACTAAAGGAGCCTGTATCTTCACTGCTGTCAGGTTAAACACCTCCACTTCATCCTGATAATGTCACATACAGTTAAATCGCAATTATTAGGTTTATGCGAAAGCATTTTATCTTTAAAGGTGTATTCACACTTAGTAGGTTTGGTTTGATTAACATGATCTCTGGTGCTAGAGACTCACCTTTTCTCTTGTGCATTTTGACTAAAATATGAATGCCACATCTAAATGAACCAAATCCAGCACAATGTCACAAGATGTGACACTTAAAAGGAGTGAATGCACAAGCACATGCAAACTCTACTTATTTTGTTTAAGTAATTACTTCACGACCACTAAAAAAGTATGTTTTATACAGTATGAGTGTGTCATTTTCATGTGACCTATCGGCGTCAGTTGCGTCACTTTACTGTTATTCATAAAACCTCTCCCGTAGCCTAATGGGATGCTAAAGTGTCCATCTTATGCACACTTCAGAATCTAGTAGTAGGTCATCCGGGTACTTTTTGCCTACTCTTTTAAGAGAACTGTAAATTTGGACTTTTGTCACATGATTTTTTTTCCCGAAGTGTTATTTTAATTTGTTTTGATTAAAGAACTGCATGCGATTAGATCCTGCCTTTATTTTTCGTTTTTATCTGAACCCATTGCTGACACAAGCATTGAGCTCATTCAACCCAGCACACAGCATTGTTTTGTATATTCGGTAAGTTCTGACGCAAAGTATATATCATAAAAGCATTTTTTTAGTGTGTGTGTGTTGTCAGTGTTAAAAATCAGTGTAGACACTAAGCAAACCAGTACTAAATGTTTCATTTTTTTTTTTTTTGGCCCAGATAAAAAGAACCAAGAGAGAACTACAAGTGTGAACACCCTTAGAAATGTGTACCGGTACATTTATTATAGTAACATTTTAATACAATTTAAAAAATAAATAAGACCATGTAAGAACATGATGTGTGTGTGTGTGTGTGTGTGTGTGTGTGTGTGTGTGAGAACAGATGTTAGTGGTGGTAGTGGTTACAGCATATAATTATGGCGGAATGGGATGAAGGTTGGATTAGCTGCAGTGGGTAAGTATTTAGGCCTATTAATTATTCATCCTGGCTGCCATGGAAATGGAAAATTAAATCATGCATATACAGTATGTTTGCTCCTGAGTCACCTTTATAATTATGTGATTAAGGGACAGAACACTTTTTTGTGTTTAAAGGGATAGTTCAATGTGAATAAAAGCCTAAATTCATTATGTTCATTATATTATGCGAGACTGTATAGACTGTAAAAAAAGGATGGACGACACCCCTTTGCTCTTTTCCATTGGTCAGAAGTGAACCCGCTCTTGTCCCGATATGGCGCTGACATCTTGGAACTTGAGTCTGCGCAGTAGCGATTTCGGGACCAGACCCTATGAACCAGAACTGTGCAGTAGTGAGAAGGAAGTAAAGCTACGAAATCAAGGCCCCGCCCTCACTCTCGCAGAATCAATCGCAAGCACACGCTCCTGCATTTAAAAAAATAATGATAGAAATTTAGATATTAAATTTAAGGCTTAAATCTACTCAGTCCTCCGAGGACCCTGAAAAAAAGTCTGTTGGTGCTACAGTGACTACTTCGCTCAGAGAACCTGACAAGCACAGCTGTCAATCATGACGTCACACCACCGCATCAAATAACTAACTAAAAACAAACACTTGAACTTCAACATCAGCGTGATAGAAACAACAGTAAATGACAGAAACCATCTTTGGAAAAACTATATTTGAAGTGTTTAGTTGGTCTCACATATAATGTTGAATAACAGGGGGAGGTGGGGTTTATGACCTGTACTGGGACCAGTCACCGGGCATGGGGCAGAGAAATGAAAGAGCTTAAAGGCATGTTGAACTTCTTTTAACTTGTTCACGGTGGAATGCAAAAACTTGTTCTGTGTGAACCTACCCTACAAATACGGTCAAAGGCATGTGATCGTCTGTGTAAATAATACTATTTTTGTATGGCCTCACATCGCAGGAAATCTATTACAAATCTATGTGTGTGCTTCCTCTACAAAGGTAGGCGGTACTTCTGTATCTTGTGTCTGGAGAGCTCCTCTGAGTTTGACCACACCCACTGCCACACCTCTGACCAGTCCTGTTTCTGTTACCACAGCAATAGAGCTGTCATTCACGGAGAACCTTACGCTGGACTAGAGCGAGACCGATATATCGGCAGGCCGATATTAGACATTTTTCAAACTATCGGTATCGGCAGTTATAATGGCTGATAAATGAATATTTCAAAAATAAAATAAAAAAAAGGAGGAAACACGCTTGAACCATGTCATGAGTGTTGGAGTTGTATAGTTTGCCCACCAGAGGGCACTCTACACAGTCCCTGTTGGCAACACTCGTTGAGTTGGTCACGTCACGATACATACATTGCTTGAATAACAATTAAAAGATCCCCATCCCCATCAGTTCTCTTAACTCATAAGCATGACACAATTTGTGACTATCATGTCCAGTTTTGCTGCTGTTAAATAAGCCGAGAGTGACACGGAATTAGCTAGTAATAGTTACGTTATGTTGTTACAGTGTAGTCCTTTTAACTTTTGACAATGTGACTGAAGTATTTCTTTAATAGCGCGTGACAGTTATAGCAATGAGATGTATCATCTCTCCTTGGCCTGTTATATTGAAAACCTATGTGTTACAATTTGTTGCGCGTTTCTGAAATAATAATTTAAAAAAAATATCTAGATTTTTAGATTTTTAAACCAATAAATATTTGTATCGGTATCGGACTTCAAAATCCCTTATCGGTCGGGCTCTACGCTGGACTGAGGATGAGGCCCTCCCTCCAATTTCACCTGAACATCAAATACATCTTTATACTCAAAAATGCATTTCTGGGAAAACTAACATATGGTTTGGCGCATCCTCCTGTTACACCCACCTGTCGCACACATCCAACTCCCAGAGTGAGTTTACTGGGCTGCAGACTGAATGGAGGGTAAACTTGCATATTCTTGTGGGAGGAGCTTATAACACGCCCATGACCGTCCACTGCTAAGAGGTGGAGACTGACCACGCCCACTGCCAGGCCTGCCACATGGAACCCCACACTGTACTCGTCCAATGGCCCCGCCTCCCTGTAAGCATACAGTAAAACACAATTCAAAAACCATCTGTTTTAACTATAATTTCTATGTGAAAGAACTAATGCCAGAAATAAAAAAAAATGAATATATTCAAATAATTTGAAAATAAAATGGAAATGCCACATGTCTACACGATTTATTTGTAATTCACACTGAAACGTTACGATAAATAACTGCTCCCATAGCAGTTATATGCATTTCTTTAAATTCCATCACACCATTTGAATAGTATTTCCATCATTTCAAAATGAATTAGAATTCTACATTCTATTTACTACTTCAGTTTAGAATCAGTTATGCATCCTTAATTCTAAACTACTTGCCTCACTCCTTACAATTTATCCAGTACCCCACCGGAACTCCAGCATATCTATTCATTTCTACTATGTATTAGATATTACATACTCTTTATTAAGAAGTCATAGGACAGAATTTAGAGCTTGAACCCTTCCATTATGGACGGCAAACCTGTGAAATGTAAACTAGTGAAATAGGACGATACAAGACACATGGCCTGGACTCACTCCACAGAAATTATTAATGAAGAAGGGATAAGCATGAGGTTCATGAGCAACAGGAAATGATGAAGAAACGGTTGATTCTTTGAATCCAGAACACACACTTGAACTACTGCAGAATGTCTGACCTCAATCTAAAAACAAATCAAAATGGGAGACAAAGATTCAGTGAACATGAGATGATAAAAATGTAATGCAGTGTAGTAAAATGCCTAACAGTAACGCAAGAGGTGAGGAGCGTCTGTCTCCTCCGTCATACAATATTAATGAAGTCGATTTGGAAATCTGTGATGTCAGAGACAAGAATGGAGGCCACAGCAGGATCAGAGCTCAGACAGAGGTCATGAGCCAAAATAGTCAAAGAACCAGACTGAAGTGGGGACACCTGGGATAGAAAGATTATAAGTGAACTAGTTATTAGTATTGCAAAATATTCACAAGAAGTATTTGAACCTAAACAGACTATTCTCCCACCTGTATTATATTGGTGTCCATCATGTGGTTAATACTGGCCAAATGGTTGTCTTGTAGATTGATATGAAAGTGACCTGAACCATAGATCAAGGTCAAATTTTCCTACAGAGATGAATGGATTGATTGAGGAGTCACTAAAATACAACAAAAACAGGCCAGATGAGATGTGATGGAGAGGGATGAATTTGCTCACTGAGACTTTTGGATGGTTGAATAAAGTGACTGAGTGTCTGGCCCACTGTACGTCATCTACCAAACGCAGATTCACATACTGAGAAGCTGGAGCTGTCAACATCTTATACAGCCCACATAGTTCAAGTGTTACTCATGCATTAAACATAAAAATGGATACATTAATAAACACACACACACACACACCTCTGGACATGTAAGAGTGACTCTGACAGTGACGGTTCCTGTCTGTCCCTGGGACTGGAGAACCTGGCAGGCTGTAGAACAGGCGAGTTGATTAGATTAAGCTCAATTGCAAATAAGATTGTCCACAATAAGGAAAGAAAAATCTTTTTTTTAAAACTAGTCTAAAACCTGTGTCTTATACGTGTACTCATATGTTGGTTTCATATAGTATCAAACTTTTATACAATTTTCAAGAAAAGTCTAACTTAAATTACTCTAAAAATGTTATGTGGTGTAACAAACCAAGTAAAAATAAATCTTATTCATTGCTTTCAAAAAAAGTTACAAGATACATTTTAAAATATATGAATATATGTGAAATATAGTTAATTATTC